AAATACGAAAATAAGGTATATGCAATAGGCAGGGTTACACAGTATTCACTTTCGTTTGACCATATCTTTCACTTCAGAAAGACAACAGTCATTTTATCAAAGTCATTTTGTATATTTGCTTGTTTGCACCATCATACAATTTAGGTCATTCCCATTGAAATATGGATATTGAAAGATTGTAAAAGTTCTTGAACATTTATATTCAGGAATTTGGTGAACTTCGGATTTGATTAAGTTAGCTCAGTTAGTTCTTTGAATAAAGTTAACGAAATACACTATTTGTGAAGGATTACAAGGGCGAATAAATTCACATTCTGTTTCATATGTGAGGATACGTAAACTGGGTGAATAGGTTTAGTCCACATAATTCATGGTTGATTGAAGTTTACATGTCAGAATATATAAAAGTTACGTTAACTGATAAGCGTATGTAGTAAATGACATTAACAGACATGTAAGATATATGGAAGCTTACTATACAAATTGAACGAACGTCATAGCATGAAAAAATATACTATTGAGTTATCTTTATGGAAAGTGACCAACTGCTAGACTGAGATGTTAGTTTATCTAGAGGATCCGGTCAGTACCAAGGAATACAAAATAGGACGTCGCCACCTGGGAATAGGAAAGTACAATTAGTGAATGAGATGAAAAAGTGTGAAGAAATAAATCTTAATAAAAGTTATAAGCAGTCGCGTGTGGCGGAGAAGTACTTCAAATTTACAAGGGGGCCTGCATAAATATCTGGGCTATATGTTCCTGTCATCTGGATATTTCAACAAGTTACCTGTTTTCTTGTTTGCTTTAACACATTATTATGCCTATTAGTCTCATAATCTATTCAAATGCGTTTATGAAAAGTTTACAACCCTTCGCTGTACAAGTTACAAAAGAGTCCAATCAGAAACATTGTGGTTGTTGGCAATATACATCGAAAAGAATATACATCATTCAGATGTCGATTCTTTAACTTCTAACATCTAACTGGCGACCACTAAGCATTTATCATCAGGATCGATCAATAAATAAGAAAAGGAAACTTGTTGAAATACTTTATGCTGAGAATTCTATATTGTACCAGAAATATAATATTGAATAAAGCCAATAATAATAATGATAATAATAATAAAATTAACTTATCTCAAAGTGATTTAGCAGCGATAACAAGATCAATGAAGCAAAATAGTGAAATTCCAGCCCTCCACTCATTTACTAGGTACAAACATTTTATACCTCCCTTTGAACAAATTCATCGAATTTAGTAGCGAAAAGCTGATTCATTGAAACTCAACAACACAATCACATAAGAAAATATGATCCTAATAAAATAATTGTGCGTCATTTCATTTTCTCTTAGTGACTTAGCTTTCTTAATCAGTCACCTTGATAACCGTTATTACATAAATCTCAACGGTGTTTTAAATCAAAAGGCAATAAGAAGCGACAACTAGTTTATTAGCAGATAGCACGAATAACAAAGCTATAAGTACATCCGGCCAATTTGAAACAGAGAGTCGAATGTGTGTATGCAAGCAAATAGAGGTAAATTTATAGTCAAATCGAATAAGAGTACAACAAGGTAAAGCAAAAGCTAATAATAGGATTTGAGTAGATATATACATAGGGAAGAGAATAATTCATCAAGCGATATTTAAGTTATCAACATTTTAGCTAGAGTCTGTCATGTGATCAAACATACATGTTTATACAGATATGGTAGTGATCATAATAGTACAAATAAATATGTGAATTGTTACTGATCGAATATCATTGTCTGTTACGTTAATAAAAGAGCTTAACCAAAATTTAACCATAAACGAAATTTATTGTAGGAGAGTTACTATAATCTACATATGACTTGATCATAATTATTTTCGGAGATAAATTAGAAACTTGTATATCGAAAACAAAATGGTCCACTTTTTTTGAAATTATTAAGTGTCTAAGATCTATTTAGTATAACAGTATTCACATGAGCAAAATGAGCACCCAGAAACAATGATATATTTTTCTTTTTGTCCATTTTTGTTGCTCAGACTGAATTTACCTCTATTTAGAACATTTTTATACATTTTGTAATTGTATAAAAAGACGTGTAGTGTCAGTCATTATGTTAAGCCCATATACCTTATTATAACTTTCGGACAGCCCAATCTATTCATTCTACTTGAGTCATATTTTGACCTTGTCAATTATTCGCTTATCAGTCTTGAGTGTTTTTATATGAGCGTATATGTGCGTACACTTGATATCCCTTGTCTCATCACATGGCTGTAGTTTATCTTGTCTGCCTATAAATATTGGGTAACGCCTGGCTAAAAATGAGTTGGCTTACCAACCATCTCCGCTGCGCTTCATTTTGCTTTGTTCTATTACATTCACTTTACATACAAAAGACGAAATGATAGAATGTCTAATGAGAAAATTCACCGCTTATATTTCGTGTTATACTGATGTGAAAGACAAGTATCGTTTTATTATAAAATAATATTTAGAAAGATTTCATCCTGTCACTCATTTAAAAGAATGTTTTAAATGATGAAAAATTATAATATATACATTTATGTGAATATACAAGCCAAAAAAATTATGCAAACAGCTAATTAGTTCATGAATATAAAACAGATCTGTTTCTGTGACCTAACATTTAAATGATAGAACTTTGAAAAATGTTATCTTTTGTTAATTTCTTGATTAAAAAAAATTTCGGTGAAACTAGAATTTATGGACGACCCCAAAGTGACCTTGAGGGTGTCCGCCTAATAACTAGGACCAAATGAGTGTTATAAACCAATGTGAGGAATTACAGTTATGATTTACATTTGATGGATAATGTTAGGAATTAGATTTACGATTTTTCATCACGAACTGACATAAGCTAAAATGCCAAGACGCTATTCGCTCAAATGGTTCAGTGAATTTCGCACCAAAATCCAACACTTATTATCCTAAATCTGATTGGTCCGTCCATAAATTATAGTCTCGCCACAATTTCTACCATGTTTAATTAACGTATTTACAAGGTAATCTGTAAATGTAAATTTAGGGCATCTTTTTTTCTATATTTATGAGGTTATCATTCAACATAAATGCTCACATTCATTTGAATAACTTGTTAAGTCCTAGTTAACAAAATCAATTATCTATCGATTTGATTAGTACTACATTTAAATGTGTACATTCTAAACGAATTCCAAACTAAAAACAGAAAACACTTGATATTGTTTGGCTTGTATCTTACCATTGAGGTTTAAGACTGCAGTTGGTCAGATTGATAACCCCATTGAACAAGCAAGTGACTATCAGGACTCAGTAGCTGAGTGGATAACACGATGGCGTTTGAAGTGAATGGTACTGAGTTCGAGTCCCGGAGTGAACATCAACTCTGAGTTACAGGTAAATCTAGCTGACGAGTCCCAAATAGGACGAAACGCGCGCCCTGGATTCCACTGCTAGCCACCATCCATCATTAAAACCAGAATATTTTTTCTGTGAACACTAGTTTTTAATTGTTTTTTTTATCACGCTATTTATATTTAACTCGTGTGAATAAAGCAAACATTTGGAAATAATACAATTTTCTTCTCATCACTAAACCAATTTAATAAACTAAACAAACCAATCATGCATATGATCCATTTTCCTTCATATTTAATCTATATATGTATATATATGTTAAAAACAATTTAAACAATGATAAAAGTGTTGTTGACTTGAAATATCAAACCGAAAAAAAAATTGGGAATAAAAAACAGCGAAATTTAATGATCGATCGTTTATTTTGTTTTTCATTTGATCATGGAAACCATTCATTTTATTGAAAATAAAACGCTGAAAAACAGACCATAATAATCATTGGTAAGTGGAATCAATTAAACCTAAATGACAAAAAAGGTGTGAATTAAAAGAGAAAAGAAAAAAAAGCATGAGATGAATGGGAATTTTTAAACTGTCACAAGAAAATGGAACACTATTGATTGTTACTATTGTTGTTATGATTATTATTATTCAATAATAAGAAGGCTGCTATTCATTTATGGATTTAATCATTATGATTGTAAACTATTTATGAATACGTTCAAACAAACAAACAAACAAACAAAAAAGGAAAGAAAATAATGAAAACAATCGAAATGTAAATAAATAAGTTCAATCAATTGTGATGAAAATAAATCGTTGAATTGAGAAAAACAATTCTCCACTGTACTCAAAATTTCTTAGTTTAAAAATGAAGGCAAAACAGAAAACAACATATCGTTTTACTTAGATGTAGTAACAATAAAAAAACACAAAAAAACAAAACAAAATAGATAAATATCTGTTATATGCCTACATATATATAGATGTGGTTGGAACGTTTAAGCAGTAAGTAGTTAACGATAGTACACAGTATATTTACTGGTTGTGTTCAAAGTTTGCTTCTCTTTTTTTTCTTCCAATTTAATTGTAGGAAAGTATATATATTTAGTAATATAAGAATAAAATGGCGCCATTTGTGTATAATGTGCTATTTTGACTCAAGAAAGAAAAAATACGGAAAGATATATCGATTAAATGCAAATTAAATTTGTTTTACAAGTTCTTCTAGTATACATATAGATATATATGTTCCTCAACAGGAATGAAATAGAAGTAAATAGGTAGGAAAAAAATCAATTAGAGTAATAGTTCATTTCAATTATGATGTAGGCTGAGGAACTATATATAAATATATATGACTAGAAATGTAACGATATATTGTAATTATAAAATAAAGCAAAGAGGGAAACCAATGTTACTCAAGACAAAAGAGTTAAATGAAAAATTTTAACTAGGAACTGACAAATATTCTTACCACAAATAGACATATTTACACATAGATTCATCTTTAACTTATGATTGAGATTATTAATTCCCAGGGAGTATCATCATCATATTTCTAATTGTTATATTTCAATTAGAATAATTTATGATCATAATTTTGGCAATAATTTATTGACGCTTAAATATAATTCATATTAAGTTGTATTGTTATCATTTTTCTCAATATTTTTAATTTCATCAGTTATATTGTTGAATGAAAATGGTTTAATTTCAGGAGGACGAGTAGGTGAAGATAATGATGATGGTGATGAACATGATGTTTGTAATTTAGGTGGTAATTTATCTTGTTTATCAATAGAATTTGATTTTAATTGTTTACATTGTATTTCTGCTAATTTATCTTCATCAAATGTGAATGTAGATAAAGAATCAGTGGAATTAGTTGATTTTTCCGCCGTTGAATTACTTTTATTTAATTGAAGACGACGTAATAAATGAAGTACTGCTGTTGCATTATAAGCTTTCTAGATGAAATTTAAATAGAAATGAACAGATATAATATAGAACTAATTCAATAATTAAAGTAGAATTTTCTTCATAAACCAATAAAACATCATAACTGATGTATTGAATAGAACTAATCAATATGAATTAATTTTCCATGTAAATGATTTAGGAAATGAAAGCAGTATAAAGTTTTATTGAGAATCATTAGTAAATAAAGAAAGAGATCATCTTCAAATTTGTGAAGACGTTCCAGACATCACTGGTAAGAATTTGCATACTAGACTGTTTTTAAATTTGACCTAATAATAGACATCGTCAATTAGATAAATGGATAAATAATCAACCGAAAGAAGACAGAAATGAGAGAACTCTTTCTACAAACACTATAGTCTCTAGTTTCTAAACATTACAGAGATCGATATTTAGCCGATGTCTCAGAGAAGCTGTACTAAAATTCAAAAGTCAATGAAGATATCTAAAATGGAATTTGAAAATGTTCTATTTCTTTCCTGTTCACAAACGATAATCAAACCAGAAAAAAAACAATTGCATAAAATATACTCTGCTATGTTTAGTTATGCTATACAAATAAAATACAATGAAGATTTCTAGGTTGAAATCATGAGTCAGTTGAAGCTAGACCACCATGGAAAACCTGGAAGCACTGGACGACCGTTTCGTCCTAGTATGGGACTCCTCAGCAGTGCGCATCCACGATAACACAGTTCCAGGTAGTTTCATCTTCGAAAGAGAAAATTTAAAAAAAAAAAAAGAAAGAGATTGTCCCTTTCGCATATATACATTAAACTTCTTAATATAAAGCATTATAATCCATTTGCTCTTAATCTAATCAAATAAGTTTTGATGTTAGTTAGTTTTAGGCAAAGATCAAGTAAGTTGTGAATTTAGATTATCTCTGAAGTAAACAGCCAAAAGTATAATGCTGTTTACTTTACTAAAAACCCTTTATAAATAAAGTATGAATATAAATAAATTTAAAATACTTTAAATGTTGTTATTTATCAAAATATTTTATAATAAAAACTGAATACCTACTTTCCATCGTTTTACTGCTAAGAAATTTTTACGTATCTGTTCACTGACAAAAGGATAAAGATCCCTATCAAGTGCTGTATTACTAGCTATCCACGGATGTTCTAAGGCTTGCACACAACTATAGCGTTTTTTTGGATCTTTTTGGAGTAGATTACTAATAAAATCTTTGGCTGAAAAACAAAAAAATTTTAAAAAAATAAATAAATGGAACGTTAAACTTGTTTTTTTACATGAAGTTTAAAAGAAATCTGTTAAACGTTATGTGAATTGACAAACTAGTTGGATAGTAAACTTGCTAGCAGACTATGTTTTGAAGATAGAAGTGAGGGGTGAATTAGTCACAGTTAGATGTTATTTTGTGTGATAACAAAATATGGAAATGTTACAACAAAGGTAATGGATTATGCTACGGTTAAAAAAAAAGAAACTTATGTTCCTAAAACTTAGCTTCAAGAGTGTCGAAACTGACTGGCTTCTTCATTTAACGGAAATGCTAAAAGCTTGTCTTTCTGTATAAACCGAAATGCCCAGTATGATATTTAATTGTGGATGAATGCTCGACTTATGTTACCGCTACTCTACCTATCACTTTCCAAGTACATAAATTGAAAAGAAAGAAGTGAAGTGTCCGAACCTCTGAAGACATTCCACAAGAGAATAGATTAGAAATATACAATGTTTTCATTAGTGTAAGCGTTTGTCACTTTCTCAGCAGTGAATATGATGCTGACCTTTCAGAATTAGTAAAATAGCCCTTTCAAACTTAGTACACTGTACTGAAACCGTTGTGTATCTGGAGAAATATAGTTAGTAGTCTTGTACAGCCTTGGTGATATCGTTTAAATAACTTTCCATGATCTTAATCATTACCCTTTGTTTTTTATTTGAGTTAGTCAATTTTCAAGTATTAAGTAAACTATGACACAAATCTTCGAATTGAGAAATTTTGTTTCCATGCACTTTTTAGTTTGTTTTTTTCTTTGGAATATTCACAATTATTTTGTGTTATAATTTCATATTTGCATCTCAGACTCAATTTTATTCAGGACTTTTCTAAAATAAAGTATATATATTTATCGCATATTTTATTGATTAATGCTACTGTTTCTAAGTTGTAAACAACTGAGGAGTATCTATGCGATGAATGAATTTGCATTATTCAGCTATGATCATTGTACTTTCTTTATTCAGATTTGTTATTTAATTTTGCAATTGTTGGTTAAGTAATATACAACTTGTATATTTTTATTACTTAAAAGCTAAATCCACCTGTTCAACGTGTTTGTTACTGACTTTTGAAAGTTTACTAGTGTTTGAACTAGAATTTCTACAATGAATTAAATTCACAATCAATCATTAATAGTGTCAAATATCAGTGAAACTGTGTACTAAATCAGTTTGGTTCTAAACTGACAATAGACTACCATATATTTCGACAAAAATTTCATTAGATAGGATGGTCGTGCAAAAACGATTATCAAAGTTGAGTATTACTTTATTTTACATTGTACATTACTGCTCAATTAGTTCACATTTTAAACATTTGAATGCTATCTATAGACTGTCTGTATATTCACGCATTTATCCTGGTTTTGAAAAAATAAACTGCTGGATAAACGATGTTCGAGCGCAAACAAAAAAATATAGGTATGATAAAGGACATACGTGTCAAACTACTAAATCTCTGGATGTTTATCTGGCACAATCCCCTTTTTTGCCTTGATTGAGCAAAAGTTACAGTAATCTGTCTATCTAAAAACTGTAGTCACATTAATTATCCTGACTTTGAACTACTACGGCATTGTTTTCCTTTCTTAGTTCATGTTCATTATTAGTATTTAATGGATTGTAAATTTAATAAGTCTAATTAGGTATAATAAAAGAAAGGAAAAAAAAAGAAAAATCTGTTTCTAAAATTACCTGAGTCAGATATATTATCCCAATACGGGGAATCAAATTCATATTCTGCCATTCGTATTTGACGAAACAATTCATGATCGTTTTCATCATAGAATGGTGGATATCCACATAATCTAACATTTTATAGTTTAATTTCCATAAAGTCAATTTTAATAGAATATAGAAAAGAGATGAACTATTATTAGAATAAAGTTTAATTTGTGTATTTCATTAATATATATACATATATATTTACATTTATTAAATGTAAACGAGACAGGTACTAAATTATGTCATGATTTGCAATAGTTACACTTTCAATGAGTCGCATCATTAACTGTGGTATGATAAAAATTCCATTATCTTTTAGAGAGATGTTACTTGCAAAGTGACCTTAACGAAAAATCCATTTTTTTCAAAAATTATTTCAACCGTAAGATTTTCGTAAGCATTGAACTCTATGTATTTTGAGTTAAACACACTGTTGATAGTATATTTTATTTACTTAGATGTATCTGTAATCAATACAGTGGAACACTAGAATTAAGTATCAACTAGCTTCTTTCCTGATTCATGTTTGATAAATCCGTAAAATTGTATAATCTTAAGAACTATGTTCAAACAATTACGAAAAGTTAATGAAATTAACAACTACCTATATGGAATGCTGTTAATTACGCAACATGAGATGTAAGATCAATATTTAACGATACACTTTGCAGTAAACTGAACAGAATTCTTCCTACAGACTCTTTCAACCGAAAAGGATGTTATACTTCAACAAGAAAGTATAATAAAATTTAAGAGTGACAAAAAATGGGTTTCTTGGTTAGGATTTATTTATTATTTATTTATTCGAACATATAAATATTGGTACAAGAGTGCGTCAAATATATATGCGCCACACAAAACAATGGGAATTTAAAAAGAAGGAAAACGAAAAACGGTAAGGGGCGTAAAAAAAAGAGAGAACGATAACGAAGAGATTGGTGTCAAGTAGTGTAATAATAATAATAGTAATAGTGGGGGAAACGAAAGGTACACCTAGAAGAAATCTTCCAGTTAAGGAAGATACAACCACCTTTTACGAAGAAAGTAAAAGAACGTTACAGCAGGATCGCCACTGGCTTCTATTCTGAGCCATATCTGATAACGTCTCTAGCCACTGTGTTGCACCATCTCTCGGACCCCAGCCAGGGAGTCGAGAAGGACCAACACAAGCCAGTTCTTTGCAGCTTTCTTTCATGCCACGACACCATGTCATATACTGACCACCTCTCCGCTTTTTCCAACCAGTTCCAGCGTCGGCAAATAATGCACGACGTGGAATTCTCTGGAACATTAAAAATTCACTTTATCTCCATGATGTCATTTCTACTTTTCGTATTGATTATTACTAACTATAATCTATATTTTTTATCAGCTCTCGAATTATTCATATTCACAAATAGTAACTTGTTTCAGTTGTATTTTAAGCTAAGTAGGCGTTGACAGTTTTTTCAATAATGTTTTGTTTATTTGTTTTACATATCAATCAGCTTTCATTATTTATTATTATTCGTAATTTAGTTATTACCGCATTTAAAGTATTTAGTGATAAAGAATAATTATACAATAAGGAATAGGTCAGACAGAATAACAATCTTTTTCTGAATCTTAATTAGTTGATTTAGATAGTAAAAAATTGTTTAATATATTTAATAGCCAATGTTTAAAGTTACAATAATGGAAACATTTTGTTTAATGAAGAGTAATTTCCAAGCTTCGGGTACTGTATCAAACACAATTCTTGTTTGAGATGATGGAGAAGATTTGTAGCTCATGTGGGTGATTTTTATGGAGTTTTGTTCTCTGAGCTGGATGGTTTGGTCGTGGAGCTTTTCATCTACCTGAAGTTTGTGCTGATGATTTCGTTTAGAAGAACGATGAAAGCTCCAAGACAAAACCATCCAGCTCAGAGAACAAAACTTCATCAAAAACAATTCTTATTTATGCAACATTCAAGTCAATGGTTAGCTAATAAGATTTATATATGCTTTCTTAAGATTTCAATCATATGATTTTCAACTAAAACACGAATAATTTATTTAAAGAATAATTTGACTTTCAAATTTATTGAAACAAGGGTACCATACATAAAATCTATTACTTTAGATCATATTACTTCATCACATCTAAGTCATTTTGTTAGTATCGCACAGACGAGGAAGTTCTCAGGTATTTGTAGTGAAAATAAATTTACATGATGCACCGCTACAGGATCAAACTGTCTAACATTTGAATATTTCAACAACAACAACAACAACAACAGAAAAAGAAATCTATTCACTTACAAAACAACATTCATAATTTCAGATGCAACTATGAGTATCACTAACATTATAAGTTAAATAAAAGGAGATTAGTGTAATATTAGGCTGGTTATTCAGTCAGTGGGGGGGGGGTCGAAAAATCGGTAACATTAAGAAAATCTGTATTTAATATTATGAAAAATTATTTAATTGACTGATTTCACTATGTTATTTAAATCTCAGAATAATTACAATGTTATAATAATCATCGCCCCCGAATGCCCTGGTACGGCCGAGAGTGGGGAGAGTCGGCTCTCCCTCTCGAAATACTCTCACACGGCCGCGCGTATACAGCCACTGCCTTCTCGTGGCGGGGGTGTTGTTTACGAAAATGAGAGGACGAAAAGCGAATGTCCGGCGCTTTAACCGGATTCCAAACCAGTGGTGCACATGGGCTCCAGTATCCTGCGGGAACAAATGGCCTATGAACCAATCGTTGGTCACCGGCTACCATAGGATTGCATCTCCTTACGATGCTCCACTGCCTTGTGGGTTAGACCTTTAGGTCAAAGGCTCGGGGAGTGGCCCCCTAAGATAACCACCTGCTTCGGTTTGGGCGCCCGGGAAGTATCACAGCCCACACACAAATGATGAACTCTTTATGCCTATGGAAATTACTTTTCTCGCTTCGAAAAACAATCAGTTGATTCAAATTATTATCATTACAATTATTGTCATTATTAATACTATTATTATTATTACTACTATTATTGTCATTATTGTTATTATTATTATTTTTATTATTATTATTATTTTCCACATTATTCACCCTCTTTTATACTTATACAGCGGCTCGTCTTTGGTGGAAATTCGACTATATCTAAACGTTCTCGAGTCACTGTTCGGTCGAAAACTGTATGTTACCACCGAATACGAGGACTGAAGCAGTTTTTCTGAAACCACGTGCATCATTCAAACTGGCTGCCTTCAACGTTCGCACATTTATGCAGGTCGGACAACAGATAGGGCTGGCTATGTCTTTGGAAAGTCTTAATATTGATGTTTGTTGTCTATCCGAGACCCGTATTCAAGACTCTGGCGAAGTACTACAAATTCGATCTCCAGCTGTCGCTTCGAAAAGCTTGTTTTACGTGCGCTTATCCGGGGACCCTGTAGAATGTTCGTCTAGTCTTGCTGGCGTTGGTGTCGCACTAAGTGCTAGAGCTGAGGCAGCACTAGTCGATTGGATCCCCCTTAACAGTCGGTTATGTGCTGTTAGATTAGAAAGTTCCATCAAAGTGAGAAGAAATCCGCGTGAGAAACGATGTCTTTTCGTTATCTCCGCCTATGCCCCGACAGATTGCAGCCCGGATGCAATCAAGGATGAGTTTTACCACCAGTTATCTGTTCTTCTCCAGAAAGTGCGTTCGACAGATATTGTAGTACTAGCCGGAGACTTGAATGCTCAGGTCGGGCGTCTAGCCACAGAAGAGAGTCGTTTAGGTGGCCGATGGGGACTCGTTGGTCACAGGTCAGATAACGGGGACCGTCTACTGCAACTTTGCACAGACCACAACCTGTTTCTGGCTAGCACTAACTTTCGGCACAGTCATCGCCGATGTGCCACCTGGCGTCCTCCCTCTGCATCTCAAGCCTGGACTCAGATTGATCACATCGCGATCAGCTACCGCTGGCGTGTTGTGTACAAGACTGCCGCTCCTTTTGGAGTACCTATCTGGACTCTGACCATGCCTTGGTCTGCGCCAATCTTGCCTTACTTTTCAGTGGACAACGAAGTGACCGCCATCAACGGATTGATATTAGCAAGCTGGTTGCAACTTCTGTTGCAAATAAGTATCGAACCGAGCTAGCCTCTAGGCTAGCTACCACTCCACCGAAAAGTATAGATGAGCATTGGTTGCAATTGCATGACGCCATGAAAATGGCGGGAACAGTCAGTTGTGGGTTTGCGAAACGTCCCGCTTATAAGCACTGGGTTTCTTCTGGTTCCTTACATCTCATTGAAGCCCGTCGGTCTACTCCGGGTGACCGTGAGTTTGACCATAAACGAAGGATGTTACGTAAGGAAATTGGGCAAAGTTTGCGTAAGGACCGAGAAGCCTGGTGGTCGAAGCGTGCTAATGAGCTGGAAGCAGCAGCTGCATCTGGTAACTACCGGAAGCTCTTCCAACTCATCCGAGCCACTGGCAGCAAGAAGTCTGGTGTGAGTGAAACAATCTGCGAGGATGATGGGATGCCAATCACTAACATCCATCGACGTCTTGGACGATGGGCAGAATTTTTCGAAGGGCAGTTCAACTGGCCTGCTGCTCCGGCAACATCGGTCGAACTGTCCTGCCCTCCATGGCCGGTGACGACTGATCCACCAAATGAGGAGGAAGTCCGCAAGGAACTCCAACTCTTGAAGCGTTACAAATCACCTGGCCCAGATGACTTACCTCCGGCTCTTTTTAAAGATGGTGGTGACTTTTTGACTAAGGAATTGACGACGTTGTTTACAAAGGTTTGGGAACTAGAGAGTGTACCAACGTCATGGAATGAATCGATAGTTGTCCCTATCTTTAAAAAGGGTTCACGTCGTCCCTGTAACAACTATCGGGGGATAAGTCTACTTCCGATTGCGTCCAAGCTATTGGCTTCCGTCATACTTCTTAGGTTGTTCAAAACTCGAGAAAGATTGACTCGCGAGGAGCAGACTGGGTTTCGTTCTGGTCGAGGATGTATTGATCATATCTTCACCCTCCACCAAATGTTAGAACATCGCCATTCTTATCAAATGCCAACAATCGTAGTGTTTCTTGACATCAGGGCTGCCTTCGATTCGTTGGACAGGGCTGTTCTCTGGGATTGTCTATTGAAAAAGGGTGTGCCTGAGAAGTTTATTAACATCCTAAAAGCCCTATATAAAAACACCTCAGGCAGAGTGAGGGCATACAACCACCTTTCTCCATTGTTCCATTCGAGCAGTGGGGTTAGGCAGGGTTGCCAAATCTCACCATTCCTCTTCAACTTTGCCATCGATGACATTCTGGAAACAGCTCTGATGAATGTAAGTAATGGTGGTGTGGATCTGTTGCCTGGAGAAAGACTTCTCGACCTTGCGTATGCGGACGATATTGTCTTACTGTGCGATAATGCCCAAGGCATGCAATCCGCACTTAATCAGTTGGCAATCAGTGTCCGTAGGTATGGTCTGCGCTTTGCACCTTCGAAGTGCAAAGTACTTTTACAAGACTGGCAGGATTCCAATCCTGTACTCACCCTGGATGGTGAGCAGATAGAAGTAGTCGAGAAGTTCGTGTATCTGGGTAGCTGCATAAGTGCTGGTGGGGGTGTGAGTGATGAGATCAGTGCAGGAATAGTGAAAGCCAGAGCGGCTTATGCCAATCTGAACCACATTTGGCGCCTTCGTGATGTTCGTCTGGCTGTAAAAGGTCGGATCTACAACGCGTCGGTGAGAGCAGTTTTGCTCTATGCTTGTGAAACCTGGTCTCTCCGAGTTGAGGATGTTAGACGACTCTCTGTGTTCGATCATCGCTGTCTCCGAAGGATTGCTGACATTCAGTGGCAACACCATGTCAGTAATGCAGAGGTTCGGCATCGTGTGTTCGGGCACAGAGATGATAATTCAATTGGTGTCACCATCTTGAAACACCGACTTCGGTGGCTTGAACATGTTCTACGAATGTCGTCCCAAAGAATTCAACGTCGTGCATTATTTGCTGACACTGGAACTGGTTGGAAGAGGTCGAAGAGGTAATCAGTGTATGACATGGTGTCGTGGCATGAAAGAAAGCTGCAGAGGACTGGCTTGTGTTGGTCCTTCACGACTCCCTGGTTGGGGTCCGAGAGATGGTGCAACACAGTGGCTAGAGACGTTATCAGATATGGCTCAGAATAGAAGCCAGTGGCGATCCTGCTGTAATCTTCTTTTACTTTCTTCATAAAAAGTGGTTGTGTCTCCCTTACCTGAAAGATTTCTTCCGATTGTACCTTTGCGTTCCCTCACTACTACCACACTACCTGACACCAATCTCTTCGTTATTGTTCTCTCTTTTTTTTCTATTTCTCTCCGAATTCTCATTGTTTTGTGTGGCGCATATATATTGGCGCTCTCTTGTACCAATATTTATGTGTTCAAATAATAATAATAAATAATCATCCATTTTTGGTGGGCTTAATTATTTGAATTTCAATAGTTTCTGTCTAATGTGTTACAAAAAGGCTTTAGAACACTATTTCATTGGGTACTAAAACTATGTTCAGAAGAGAAGATTGAACAAGAATTAAATATGGTTGAAAAGTGTTGGAGATTGTGGACACTAATTAAAGGTCGTCAGTAAGTATGGGAAGACAATAACGAAGGGAATGTAATTTACTACAGGCATGAAAACGTTAGTCTTTTAACAGCCTGCTTCCAAAGGTGGTGAAATAGCCAACATAATTAATTCTAGTTTAAATGCTCCATGGAAGAGGACATATCCAGTCGACAAACTAATTTTGTCATATGAAACAAATTGCGACAGACAAAAGTAGACGAATACTCGGCTCATGTTATCTCCAGTTATATTTGCCAATTAACATGTTCGTGCCAAAGCAGTTACATTAGAAAAACAGAAACGAAGTCTCCTTTTCGCGTCTCAGAGCACAATCCACAAAAACTGAGAATAAAAATGCTAATGTATTTTCAGTATAGGGTTTGCGGATATTTAAGTTCAGATTAATATCATGAATGGATCAATGTTAGGCTTAAGGTCCTGGGTCCGGGTCCCGTGTGCAGGATCGTGGATGCGCACTTCTGAGGATTCCCATACTAGAACTAAACGGCCGTCCAGTGCTTCCAGGTCTTTAATGGTGGTCTAGCATTGATCCATTCATAATGTATTTTCAACAGCGCTACTCCTCATCATCTGGATAGTAGACGAGAGGTTGGTATTTTAAAACTGTTCAAAATAATCAATATCCAAAAACAACTCCGAATGTACTACGTTACATCGAAGCCATTGCAATTAAATAGTTCAAATTAAGCTTATGCATTTTAAAGAAAACAGTTGTAAGTCTCTCACTATTCCAGTAGCTTCTGTTTTTCATTATTCAATTTCGTAATATCTTATTTTATATTCACAAAAGCAAATTCCTTTTTCATCCTCAAATCTTTTTGAGCTTCACTCATTTCTCTCAGTTAATCTATCAAATTTTACGGTTATTATTACGTAACTTTAACGTCAATATTCATTCTCCAGAAATGTATCTCCATATGTTTTAAAATTTTCTTCTTGAAATTTTCACACTTATTAACATATATATTCATTCAATTTACAATTTTATAATACTTCCATGTTGACTGTCGTTATTCTACTAATGTTTAGTAATATGATACGAAGTATGTACATTAGTTAAAAATAACTATTATTATTGTAAATTCAATGGTTGAGATCATGAGTCAATTGAAGCTGGACCACCATAGAAAACCTGGGAGCACTGGACAGCCATTATGTTCTAGTATGGGACTCCTCAACAGTGCGCAACCACGATCCCGCCTTGCGAGATTCGAACCCAGGACCTATCAGTGTCGCGCGTGAGCGCTTAACCACTAGACCACTGAGCCGGCATCTAACTGTGTTAATGTCTAACTCCAACTAACTAAGCTCCGACCGACTCATGATCTCAACCATTGTAATTACTATAATATCCACAAAACCCTTTCTGATATTATTATTGTCTCTAAATTGTAAGCAGCTGACGAATATCCATGAAGTAAATGAAATCACCTTATTCTACTACATTCGTTGTTCTTGCTTTATTCACATTTATCGCTAGTAAAAATTATATAAAAGTTACTATCCTGTAACCAAATACAAAAACTCACTAATCTGAAACTAAGAAAAGATTTACTGCTTAGAAACATGAGAATCTATAACTAATAATTATCTCGCAAAAAAATTTTAATGCAACTCCGACAATTAAAAAGAACTTACAAAATGTATGCAATCACACCAATAGCCCAACAGTCTACTTCTTTGCCATAACCGGAACTGCCTTCATTAACACTAAGAACTTCAGGAGCTAAACAAATAAAATTTGGGGAAACACTGTAGGTACAAATAATAAAGTTATTTTGAATAATTTATGATAAACCCAAAGTTTCTGTACTGTTAAACAGTGGGATCTAAGATGAGCGTTCGACTTTATTTGGGACTCATCAACTAGATACACCAGAACTCATGTTGATGTTCACAAAAAGGAATTATATCCAATTTCTTACGCTTTGAACTCAGCACGTTATACACCTATTTACTGAGTCCCGATAGTCACTGGCTTATGCAATGAGGATTAGTTTTTATTCATCTTTCAGGGTTTAAATCTTCCCGTCATTGATATTAAGAACTGTAGTTTATCAGTCACTGTCACAAACAGTATGTGACTGTCAGCAGTCCTTAACATCAACAACTGCAGGATTCAAACCCTTAGAAATAGATTACGACTAATTTGTTATCTTTCTGTGGTTTTATGGATTGTTTCAAGCTAATTGGAAACACTAAATATTTTGTGACATTTTTTTATAACATGCACATAACTGAACCATGATTTCTGATCGTTTAAATACTCTGGACAGAATTTTCATGACATAACTGAATGGTTTCGTATTTTATTTGATTCTTTTTTTAATATTCTGTCATTTCAAATTAGGTCATAGTCTGATATTTCTATGATATGAATGGAAGGGTTTTTAGTTGTTTTTGACCTGGAGAAATGAATTGAACAAATAATGGTTTCATGACTTTATATAAAGTGTTTTTCAATAAATATTTAAACAGGAAGTATTCTTGGTAATATCATCAACAGAATATGCCATTTGAAACTAAAAAATTATAAGCTATCGTTATTAAAGGTGGAGAGTTATTACTTTTATATTAGAAGTTATTAAAACAACTTAGTCAATTTTACTAAAATCGGATAGTGGTTAAGAGCGGAGTCCAAGATGAGCATTTCATCCGATTTCGGACAGGCTAACTGAATGTATCTGTAATCCAAAGTTCATGATGACACTGAGAGTAATGAATACCAACAATAAAGAGATATAACTCATTACAAATTAGTCAATATACTTAAACTATAACATGAAGTGAATACTTCACATGATTAAGATTTGCCTAATCATAGTATCACATAATAAAAATAGAAGCTAGTATTTGAAAGAAACCCTAAATGTTCAGAATTAGATATGATATGCCCGAAATGCCCTGGTACGGCCGAGAGTGGGGATAGTGCGCTCTCCCTCTAAAAATGCTCTCACATGGTCACACGTATATAGCCTCTGCTAGAGAAGTCCTACACACTGCTTTCTCGCACCACGGGTGTTGTTTACAAAAATGAGAACACGAAAAGCGAATGTCCGGCGCTTTAACCGGATTCCAAACCAGTGGTGCACGTGGGCTCCAGTGTCCTGCGGGTACAAATGGTGTATGAACCAATTTTTGGTCACCGGCTACCATGGGATTACATCTCCTTACGATGCTCCACTGCCCTGTGGATCAGACCTTCAGGTCGAAGGCTCAGGGAGTTCCCCCCTAAGAAAACCACCTGCTTCGGTTAGGGCACCCGGGCAGTATCACAGCCCTCACACATATCGAATGAGATTTGTGTGGCGCATATGTATTTGGTGCCTCCTTTTACCAATATTTATGTGTTAAAATAAATAAATAAATAAATAAAGATATGATACACCTAATTATTCTTACAAAATCATGCGATGGAGTAGAAAATGTAAAAGATAACATGTCAACTGTATTGTTTTAAACACTGTATATGGAGAACTGTAATTTCTACATAAATCAAAATTTTGTAACTGAAAATACATTCAATTTTATCAAAAAAGATGAGTGTTTTATGAAACAGAGATAATCAAGTATATTTCAAACATGGATTTAAATAAACTATAGAGAACATAATAGTAATGATAATAATAATGTAGGCCGAGTAAACTGATCATTACAATCATTTACATAAATGAAACACTGATCTCAATTCCTCATTCTGAATATAAGAAATTGTTTTACTTGATCAAATGATAAATCAAAATCTTCATGAGTTATTCATCATTATAAAAATAAATAACTAAGAATTACCATAAATATAGTCAAATCACATGAACAATTCATTCTATAATGTATATATGTAAGAATATTACTGAAAATGTATCTATGTATATAGGCATAAACTAATTCATGCAATGTAATCTTAATGACATAATAAATAATAAATTACTTTATATTGAGTAAAGTAATTTGATAGATATGCTTAATCAACTTGAAAATTCTTAACTTTAACATAAGGATATATATATGGAAAACTATGCTAATGTTCTTTAGTGAATATTCTTATTTCCTCTAATTGTTAATCATAGTCAATGTTTCATTTCATTACTAATGTATAATAGATCAAAAGGAATAAAATAAAACAAATTAACATTTCAAAAGTATTAATAATTATATATGCAAACTGCATTATAGTAATACAATTATAAATTTCGTTAATTATAGTTTACATAACAATGTTAATGGTTACTAAATTGTCACTATAAACGACATGAATGTTGTACGCCGATACTTTTTATAGTGTATGAATGTATTGAAGTAATAATCATTTATATGTCAAGATGTTTTGGTGGTAGAAGGTCATAGGTATAATCAAATGGTTATAATTTCTGATAGTTATAGTTTTAGTGGTCCTTCATTCCTCCAGTTTCTTATGCCCAATATCATCGTATAATAAAAAAAATTGTGGTAAATTATATATTGTGAATATATTTATATGGAATATTTCTTGCTTTTTTAGTTCTATAAGAGATTTCTAATCTTTTCACAAAGCAGATATTGAATAGTAAACAATACCATGTTATTTAGCCAGTGATGTAATATGGTCATGTAAATCAATGATATAATAAATTCTATTTGTTATTTAGAAACTGTGAGAAAAAGTTCTGAACTTAATTTGTATGTTAATTAATGTTTATCATCAAGTCTTAAGTGAACTTGTGTTCAATTGAAAGAGTGGAACTCGAGTCATATTGTGTCTTAGTCAGTAACGTTCCAACTGTGCTATGCAGGAACCCAGCAAAGTTGTTTGGTACTTGAAAAAAATCAACAATGATTACTCTCTATTAACCAACTGATGGAGCAGAATTATTTTTTCCATAAGTTACACATAGGAAAGTATTTATATGTTATGAAAAAAAGATAAATAATCGAAAGACTCGTTTTCAGCTATTTTCTCTTTACCGATTGAATAATAAAGATTTTTGTATACAGGTTTTGTTTTATATACAACACGTTTAAAACAACAACTATATACTTCATTTATTATCATTTTAGTAGTAAATGTATAATATCAACTCAATTTAGCAATGGAACAATAAATTTTTTTTCATTCCTTTTTTGATTGAGATCATAAACCGATTGATGTTAGACCACCGTTGGAAACCTGGAAGCACTGGATGGCCGTTTCGTACTATTATGGGAATCCTCAGCCGTGCGTATCCACGATCCAGCTCGCGGGGTTAGAACACAGGGCCTTCGGTCTCGTGCGCGAACGATTAACCTACTGGACCACTGAGCCGGCATCCGGTGGTGAAAGTGTCTAACATCTTTTTCATTTTATAAGTTAAAGGTCTAGAAATCACCTTTTTATAGAAAGATAACTACATGATTATCGTTAGAGTTATCACAAGAAAACATTTACAATCCTTTCAAACTGTGTACTGCCAATAAAAAATTCGGATATTTGTATGCTAAAGGTTTACGTTTAATAAAGTCATTCTAACAACCAACTGAGATTAGGTAAAAAATGATTTCTTGAAGAAACTTTGTTTCTGAATAGTTCAATTGTTCTTTTTATTTCTAAAATGTATATAGTTATATTAAAGAAAAAATAAGAACAGAGAAAAAACATCGCATTCCAAATAAGTATTCTGGTTTTGAAGATAATCAACATCATAGATTATATTTATTCAGATAATTATTGAAAACCTGAAGAGAACTAGATAGATATATTATGATAAATTAAAATTACTTATCAACCTATGATCATAAATTGGCAAGAGATTGAGCTCAAGAGTTTCAGGTCTTGTACAGATATTCAAATTATGACATAGTCATTGCTGTGAAAATCTCAGTAATCACAAATGAAGACAAACTTTCGTCGAATTGGAAGATCACCTAATATATATAACCATGTAATACATGTATATTGCTATATACGGGTTATTTTCGAAGAGGAAACACTTGTAGTTACCTATCTGGACAATTTACGATCAAATCTTCAATAATTATTCCGTGTTTTACATCAAATGATTCCACTACGTTTTTTTTGTTAATTAATGCGTTTTTCTACAGAAAAGATTGTTTCATCGTTAATATACATAAAGAAAGTCTATACACATGTAAACAGATAGATATATAGATAGATTAAATCATATATGAGGAAAGGAACTAATCTAACAACATGCAAAATAAAAATGATAATGTTTTGCTAATAGTTTCATCTTGTCCTTTACCTTCGATATTTTATTCTTTGTAGGCTTTATAAGGTGAAAAAAAGAAATTTTAAGTTTTATCTTGCTTACAAAAGAAAATGTTTATTCACAAAGCATAATATGGTATAAAGAATAAACTAAAAACTAATAACTGAATAAGATGACACAGAAAAGGGTGATAACAGTAAAAAGGCTAATAAAATCGAAAGATGGAAAATAAGGAGAAACTTTGATGATAACAACAATAACAAAATATAAAACAAACAAAGTTACTTAACAACTAATAGCAAATGAAGAACTTTTTCTTTTCTTATCTCTCCTTTGCTCTTCTCTTTATTTTGTTACCAATAAACACAAGTAAACAAAAAGACAACAACAGAGAAAAAGATTTTGATCTAATTTAGTCTAAAAATTATCTTAGCAGTTCTACGGGAAAAAAAATTATTTTAAGGAAAAAAAAAGACACGTGAAGTATTATATCTTGAGGAATATTTTCGAATTAAGAAAAAGAAGGACATCGTTTACATGATTTCAATCGATCAATAGAGAAGTTAAGTTTTCATCTGTAGAACTAGAAGATAATATATATTTGATGTATAAGTTAGCATTTGTTTCATAAAACTAAAACGGAAAATCGACAATCGTTTGATGAAATAGTCAAGTTTAAATTAATTATGGTAAATGAATGATGTTAGAGTATGAGCAGTAAGTTGTGAAGCGATAAGCAAAGATAGATAGTGGCTAGCAGTGGAATCCAGGACGCGTGTTTCGTCCTATTTGGGACTCGTCAGCTGGATGTACCTACATCTCAGAGTTGATGTTCACTCTGAGACTCGAACTCAGTAACATTCACTTCAAACGCAATCGCGTTATCCACTCAGCTACTGAGTCCTGATAGCCACTTGCTTGTGCAATGGGATGAGTTTAAATTCACTTGGTGTTGTTTGGCTTGTATCTTCCCACTGATGTTTTAGGACTGAAATTGATCAGTCTCTTATTGGCATATGTGCATACTGTGCGTATTGCCTCGATATTGCCTTAATTTACAAGCATTGTAAGCAAAAATGGATAGTAGCTAGCAGGCGATATCGAGACAATACGCACAGTATGCACATGTGCCAATAAGAGACTGATCAATTTCAGTCCTAAAACATCAATGAGAAGATTCAAGTAAAATAATATCAAGTAAATTGTGAAGCGATAGTTCATTATTGTTTGCCTACTATAGGACTACAAAAGCTTGGATAGTAAGTAGCAACTTAAAATGTGAAAAAGAAATAGCTGAGAAATTTGTAAAATATCGTTTTCAAAAAGATGTCCACATAAATACACATTTTAAGTCTTATGATTAATATGATGCAATGAAACAGTATGAAATGAAACAGGATATTTCGTCATCATATTCACGATGACAATAATGATCAATTAATTTTTATGAACTATATATTATCGTATCATTATTATAGAACTGAACAGACGACAGTAATAATATATGACTGAAGGTGGAAATAATCACATTGATTCCTAATTTACACTAAGTAAAAACTAAACAATGACTTGAAAGAATCAGGAAAACATAGAAAATAAAATGGTAATGATAATGTAAATAAAATAGTGAAATATTAAGTTTATTGGTAGGAATAACTATAAAATCGTACACGTTCTGATTAAAAGGAATCTAATGAAATATAATTTAACTTTCTCGATAGATAGTTCTTTGCATCGTTAGAATACTGTATGACGTATGAAGTAGTTACTTATAATCAGTGAGTTTATAAATTACAACTGACTTGGAAGATAATTTTTATGCGATTTCTAATCTTTGTATACTGACAGAGCAAAATCAGAAAATTTCAATTTCTTGTCAATATTATTGCCATTGTAATGGATAGTTACTTATACTTGCCACCATAAGTAGCATACACCACACTAGATTGAACATAAGGAAGTAAACAGAATCGTAAGATTTTCTGGTTGCTATGTCCGGACCAAGAATAAGTGAATAGTAACCGCTAGGATCTATTTGTGGACTACTATTATATATATTCTTATTGTATAACCGATAAGTAACTACATTATATGTATATTCATATTCCTTTTATTATGAGCTTTTATCTGACTTATTGACTATTATTACACGATTTACTATTCTTAAAATATTCCCAATTTGTTAGTAGCAGTCTCGCACAATCACAGCCACTTTTTGGCTTGATCTTGTATAATTGTTATTTTCTATTTTATGGGATGATGCGGTCTGGTTTGTTTGTATATAAACCAAGTATGTCTGAAATGTATTATTCATACAGCTGTGTTCTGGATTCAACAGGCAGGGTTAGACAACAAGGACCACTAAGGACACTAGGCTCCTCGTGCCGGTCAACATGTCTTTGATTTGGCACAGTGCTAAGATTGTATAAGTTATGTTCTAAGTGGAGACTTAATCACGTGATAGTTAACAGGCCACAAGACGTAGCGCTGGTTCTTTCCAGAGAGGTCACCATTTGATGAAAACTAGGTGATTAAGGGCATCTTGGGGGAAACCCTGAACCTAAACGCCACGCTGGTTAGGATCCCAGTGAAGTGAACCTGAAGTTTCTAGAGCCTTGATGCTTCCAGTGTAATTCGAACTATCGTCACGGTGTGACATCGCTACTGGCCTGTTCAGACCATATGTGATCTATGTATATTGTAGTGTCGGTTATTATGTTAAGCCCATATAACTTATTCTGGCTTTCGGACAGATCAATCTATTCATTCTACTTGAGTCACGTTCTGACCTTGTTAATTATTTGCTTATCCAATCTTAACTGTATTTATATGAGTGCATATGTGTGTATATTTCTTATCCCATTACTCATCACATGTCTGTAACCTATTTTCGTGTGACTATAAATCTTGATTAATGCTTGACTAAATGGAGTTGGCTCACACGCATTCTCCACCGTGCGTCATTTTTGCTTCGCTCTCCTCTTCGCATGGTTTCCCCGTTCGTTTGTCTGGGTCAACGATTACACAAAATATATGTATTCAAAAGTCCATTTTCGTTATATGACTTATTTAATTCCGTGATTGACTAACGCGATTTAAGTAAATGATTATATACGAGGATAGGCAACATATAAAATTCAATAACAATCATTCATGCGATCTACTTGGAGTCAGATCCCGGTCTACTAAAGTGGAGAGGCCGTCAACAAACATCGTCCGATCTAAATGACGACAAAATAAAGGGCCCCATAATATAATGTGATAAATAATCAGGCCAACAAGACGATGAAACTAGCAAATTATTTTACGGGGATACCGTTATTACTCCGGAAAAGAAGTGAAGAAATGCAATCTCACAAAAAAACACTTCAAGAACAGTTAACTATAATAAAATACTTGAATCTGAGAATTAAAGCAACAACTTAGTCTACAAATAAAATCTAGAATATCAATAAAAATAGTCGAGTGAATGAAGTGGGTGACTATTAAATTAAGTAGTTTTATGAATACAGAAAAATAGAAAACTATACTCCAATTCATAAATAATTGAATCTGTTATTTAAGTATTAAAAAATTGTAGAATTATTTAGCGTTTTATCCGAAACAATAGCTTAAAGTGGGTTTTAGGCCGTTATTTATCTACTTATTTGAATACAAAAATACTAGTACAAAGGGGCACCGAATACATATGTGCCACACAAGTCACTCGATTTGTGTGTGGGCTGTGATACTACCCGAATGCCCAAACCGAACAAGCTGGTTTTCTTAAGGGGCCACACCCAGAGCCTTCGACCTAAAGATCTGACCCATAGGGCGGTGGAACAACATTCGCTTCTGGTCTACACAATTTCTAAAACAACATTAATGCCACGAGAAGGCAGTGAGTAGGACTTCTCTGTTAGTGGCTGTATACGTGTGGCCATATGAGAGCATTTCGTGAAGGAGAGCTGGCTCTCCTCACCTTCGTCTCTACCAGGACATTTACGGGCGTTTTACGACTTAAAAACTTATCATTCAACAAAAGTCTAACAAATTTAATATAATTTATCACTACCCTCGTGCATTTTACGAGTAGCCTAATGATGATGAATACCTTGTCAAACAACAACACGAAGTTATTAACAACACCACACTTTCTTGTTTCAGATAAAGGACTTTACTAGTTCAAATAAAATACGTAGAAATATAGTACACGGTAACACTAAACATTAAAAAACCTTGGGTATGAAACTGAATAGTGTAGGTCTATAGAGTATTAATTTTTTTAAAGTGTATTCAGGCACCTTAGGAACAGCTATTGATTATAGTACATAGTTTATCAATAAACATTACTGCACAATATAAATTATGTCCTCAAACTATGATTTGTTTTTAACGACTGAATTATATTTTGCAAATTGACAGAACATGAACGATATATACAAATTAACATTGTAGTTTAATTATAATTGGCATAATCAGAAAAGAAACACTTTCAAGCGACATTAATATGGTGTAGATTGGATTTACTAGATGAGATCATTAAGAAACTGGTTCAAACAAATTGGCGATATATTGTTCTGTGGGTAAAGCAAGCAAAAAAAGAACGATAAATGTATGTGCAATCAAGAAGATACCGTTAACTGTAACATTTTAATTTAATAATCACAATACAAGCATAATTATAAATACATCAAAAGATAGATATTATATTCAAAGTTTTCTGAAATGAATCAACTTACCAACATAACCTGGTGTACCACAGGCTGTAGCCATGATGGACTCATTGTTTTCTATTTTTGACAAGCCAAAATCACTCACCATTATTTTACTATCATCAGCTGGACTAAAGTAAAGTAGATTTTCCGGCTAAATGATTAGTAATATATCATGAAAAAGAAAAAAATGAACAGTTAGCATTATAGCTTCATTACAGCGATCAATATCACAGTGTTAAAGTTACTAATCAGAATTCTAGTTATAACTTTTATTTATACTGAGGTTATTATTTCTTTTCTATCCTAGTGTCCCAGACTTGACCGATTACACGTCTGACCTGTACCGTTAACCTTGAACCGACATAAGTTATGCTCCTATTTGTCTAAAATACTCCAACCTTTATCTGCCCTTTACGTTGAGTTCAAAGAGGAATCAAAAGCTAGTTTCTATTACATTAAATTTGACCACGGCTCAAAATGCATGCAATAATATACATAAAATGCTTAACCACACAGCATACCAAATAATAAATCATACTTTAACAAACAATCATATCATGAATGATAGAGAAGAAAACAACAGTACATAATTAATTAGCAATAACTAAGAAACACTAAAACGCATAACAATGATTAATCGATCTATCGTAAGCTTAACACAAGGGGAATATAGAAACGCAACAATACAGTTATCTACAACAACAAAATAATAGTCCAGAAAATAGTCACGAAACTTTCAACTTTTCCAATATTCGTTTCGTCATAACAATTAGTTAATTGTAATTTTATCAGCTTGCAAACAAAATTAAAATAGATTTGCATTGACAATCATATTTTTCTTACAAAACAATAGAAAACGTGTGGATAAAATGAAGTTATTGTATAATAACTCAACTGGTAAATGATTTAGTTGGTTGATTACATCATTCATTTTACAATGTAAACAAAATCAAACAGTGTTTTTAATAAATATTATTTCATCTGACTAAAGAATAATCGATGTTATGGTGAGATATTTTCCACTACTCGATGAATCCTATTAGATCAACTTGTTGTTATAGATATATCTTGAGGTATATTTACATAACTTGGATGTAGACAAACAGTATTATAATATAATGGATTTATTTCACTTTTCAAGGACTTTAGAAAACCTTACATAAATAATAAAATAGATCTGTAAACACTTCAAATATGATTCCAAAACGCTAGTCTTTATTCAGTGGCTACATATGAGAGCAGTTGATACTATACAGTCACTTTTTTTATGGAGTACGTTTTATACTTGAATTTCAAATCAGTAGTTGTGTTAGGAGAGTTTGCAGATTATTGATACTGTAGTGAACGAGAACACAAGTGGAGACAATCGAATGTATATGAATATAAGATTACAGAATCTCTTGGTAAAATCTGAAAATCATACAGTAAATACTTAATTTGCAAAATATCAATAAATTGTCTCAAACTTGATTGTTCCTTGGCAAATGTAAATCAATCGTCTGAGACTTCATTGTTCCTTCATTTCTATACCGATCGCTTTCTATTCCCGTTCTTTCCTTCTCGACCTTCTGCTTCCAGACATCCTATTACCGAATAGCGTTATGACATTAACACTGTTGGTCCAGTGGTTAAGCGCCCACGCGCGAGACTGATAGGTCCTGTGTTTTAATCCCACGAGGCGAGACCATGGGTGCACACTGCTGAAAAGTCCCACAATTGGACGAAACGGCCATCCAGTGCTTCCAGGCTTCCCATGGTGGTCTAGCTTTAATTGGTTCACTATTAAATTACTATAATATCCACAAAACCGTTCCCTGATTATACTACTTATGTCGACATAAGTAGCACACATTACAATACAATGGATAGAATAGCAATTTTTTATCACACGACCCTGATTATCATTTTTGATCAGTTATGATTTATCTATTGCCCAGGACATAGTTCGGTGGAGAATTGTGGTGAGCAGCCTATGCTCCTCCACGAGGAGTAACAGGCGTAAGGAAATAAGTAATCGTTTTTTTTATCTATTACACCATACATTAGTACCTGACTATTTTCCATATAAATAGCATATTTCACTTTTAGTTAGTTGTTCTGTAACAATTTGTTTATCAATATTTTTACCCACTTGAAAACTGAAATTGTGACAACTTCCAAACTACACCTGAATTGAAGTTGGTTACGTTGTGTTTTTTTTCATGGAAAACTTATCATTGAACTATTATTCAAGTTACAGCAATATTGAGTTTAAAACTTCATAAGTTATCCTAATTGTTTATTGGTTTTTTTTTTGAAAAAAAAAAGAGAGGACATGATCGATAATCGATTCTGTCACGTAATTTTGATCCATTCCGTATTCTTTTTTTTAATGTCCTAATCATTTTCACTTTTATTAGAAATAATTATTGCTTTATGGATGATAGCGTGTCAGTTATTTAGTACTCACTTCCCATTCAACTATTCAACATATATACAAATATATATACATAAATTGATAGGGTTTATTTATCAAAGTTATTGACAAAAATGTGACCTAATGTTTCTTTTATTATAGTTATTTTCATTGTAATTTATGACCTTAAATTTAATAATATTTTATTTAGTTAAAAGCTTTTATTTTTACTTCCTTAACATGTTCTACTTACTGGTACTTCTTCATTGGTTTCCAGTCAATTTAATTACAGGAAACATGGAATATTGACTGAATAGTTGAATGATAGTATGCTAATCATGTAAGATTTGAATATTCTATATTTTCAGAAGGGGTTTTGTGGAGGTTTTATAAATTTCACTGATTGAAATCATGAGTCAATTGAAGCTAGACCACCATGGAAAACCTGGAAGCACTGGACGGCCGTCTCGTCCTAGTATGTGACTCCTCAGCAATGCGCATCCTATATTTGTTCTCATGTGGAATCGTAAGGGGGTGTAATTTGTGAAATATTTTTCTTTGTTTTTATCAGTTAAATTATGGTAACAAAAACTTTTCTTTAAACTGGGGAAAATTCTTTACAAATCACCCTATTAAATATTAATGTTTCTGTTATTAAAATGAACAGCTTGACATTTCAGTTTGGACAAGATGAAAATTATCATTCAAATCCGGAACCAACTAATGTTAGATCACAATTGAAAACCTAGAAGCATTGGATGGCCGTGTAGTCCTGGTGTGGGATGCGCACTGCTGAGGAGTCCCACACTAGAATAAAAAGGCGCTTCAGTGCTCCCAGCTTTTCAATGGTGATATAACATCGATCGGTTCATCATTTCAATGGAATTCAATGATCTCCAGAACCTCAAACTGAAAACGAATTGTCTGATTGCATTGTTGCGTATTATTATTAGATTTTATTAATCAATATAAATGATCTGAACATATAAATAAATGATTCACTTGTCTAACAGCTACATGTAAAGAGTTTTAATGAACAAAAGAATAAATGTAACCTACATTGTTGTTTTATTGTTTCCTGTTTTTGAAAGAAAATGAATTAAGTTCACTTTAATAAGTTTATCATTCTATTCAAAGACTGAGCATGTTTACTAATCCATCGTAAACTCTTATAAAGAAAGTAAACTATGAGTACAAAACTATTTATTTGTACAGTATTCGAGAAGTGGTACAGTCTAATTGGTAAAAAAAGTGGATTTTTTTTTCCGTATACACGTATATCAATGTTGCATCAGTTTCCAGTGAAAATTAGGTTTGGAAAAATTTGTTTAAATTTTTCAGTAGTTAATTGTGTCTTCATTAATGAATGGTTTACAGTGGAAAAAGAACATGATAAATCAATTAATTGAGTTTCGGAAAAAGATTCAACTGACAAATAACAAAATAGTTAATTAGTAATAGTTTACAAAACTTTTGTATCATAGCGCATGAGTCCTATGGAAAAAAAATAACTATCAGAGTAGCAAATACAGCTTCATTAATGTGTCAGTAAAGATAGGTTCGTAGACAGAGTGAGATATGAAGCATTACTCTGAATTTTAAAAATCATACATTAAACCGGTCTTTTATTAAAACTAAGTAGTTAAATATTGTTAGTGAATAGTACATGCATAAATAATGAAAGTAAATTAAGTTATACGTCAGTCAGTCAGCTACAACGTAGGACCAGGCACATATATGCATCGGTCCAAGTTGCCATACCTCATTAACACAACAAGATGGACACCGGATTCACAAAAGTAGTTAATTCACTGGTGGTAATATATAAAAGAAAGATTGCATGTAAGAATATAGTACAGGAAGAAAGAATTAGCTCGTAGAAAGAAAGATATGAAGCGATTTTAATCTCTTAGTTTAAGGAAAGACAGAGAGTGTATACATCGACGCCATTGGTAAACCGAAATCAAAGAAGATACTAGTATTCATGTAATCAATAAATTAATTTTAACTGATTTAGTCTATGACCTGAATAACATAATCAATACACACAATTCTGTTGGTAATCTACGTTGTTTACTACGAGATGCACTTTCTATACAGTAGAGTGGTAATTTCATGGTTAAAGTATTCGTATCTCATTTTCGAACCTTCACAAGACTTATTTTAATTTCATCAGACGGGTAATATTACTAGCCTTCACACAGCCAACGCTGCCTAGTGAACAAACTTGTACTTAATAAATAAGCTACATTAAATTTTAACGTAGTAAATGACATCGGTGTTGAACGTAACAACCTTAAGGTTTTTAAGTCACTTTCAAGGCTTTTGGTAATTTTAAGGATATTAGAAATGCAAATTTGATCTATGGAAAAAGAAAATATTATTTAAACACATGCTTATTTGTCGTCATGGCTGTGGTGATTGTAGTGGTGTTTAAATCAAAACGGTTATAGGTTTTTAAGTCTCGTTCCCCATTTTATTGGTGTGTCAAAAAGTATTGTTAGGTAACATAAACACTGTAGACGTGGTACCCGCCATGATTATGACACTACATTTCCTGTGCATATTTACTACTAAATGTTATTTAATAAATTTGACCATAAATTGCAGCACCTGGTAAACATTATAAGAAAGATGAAAATACAATTATGAGAGACAACGTTTATAAGGAAACAGTATATTTTGTCGAAAAGGGTTTATGAAGATTGTCGAACGTATATGGTTTACAGCACAAACTGATCTGACATGAATGCGTA